GTGAAAAAAGTGAAAAAAATGAGTTAGCATTCAGTAGAAGTACCTGCTCTTGTAATGACCACGTCGTGTTAAGAATACTTACCACGCCTTGGTGGCGTTGTACTATGCATTTGATTGTCATTCAGGTAAGGACCAAGTCGTGGTAGTAGGTCTACCACGTCGTGGTATTGGGGATTTTAAGACAATTTTTTTTCATCAAATATCAAATTTAACCACACCCCACTCTTGATGTTGCCTTGACCTCACAGGTACCATGCCGGGAAAAAATTAAAACAAGAGAAATACCACTAAAAATGGAAAAATAAAGACGAAAATAAAAAAAAGCAATGAACCAAGTAGCAGGTTGCCTCTCGGAAGTGCTTCTTTTTTGCTAGAGTTGTTAGTTGGACTCCTTTACAGTCAACATTGTAGTGGTTGTCTCGAGGATCAGATCCTCCCCTTCGTATGAATTTTCCGGTAATTATTCTTCATAATGTTTCACTCGATGCCCATTGAATTTGAGTGTAGTTCCAACCTCTTTTATCAGCTCAACCGCTCCATGTGGGAGTGCTTCTTTCACTATGAAAGGTCCATACCATCTGTTCTTTAGCTTTCGCAGAAAAAGTCTCATACGAGAGTTAAAAAGTAAGACCTTTTGACCAACTACAAACTCCTTGTTTCCTCTTAACCTTGTATCATGCCATTTCTTTGTTTTGTCTTTATAGATAAAAGAGTTAGAATATAATTCATTTCTTAAATCATCTAAGGCGTTCCTCTGCATTAAACGGTTAGTAAACAATTCCAATAATTGAAAATTACAAGTTTTTTTTGAGCCTAATATTCCTTGTGTTCAATTTCAACCAGTAAGTGACAACTTTTACCAAAGACCAAGCTATATGGTGTAGTACGAATAGGGGTTTTAAAAGTGGTTCGAAATGACCACAATGTATTGTCTTATTTTTCATACCATTCCTTTTTATTGCTTTTTCCGCTCTTTCTAAAATCCTTTTTAATGCACTATTAGTTATTTCGGTTTGGTCACTTGTTTGAGGTTTATAAGGTGTTGCAAACCTTTAGTGATAACCATATTTTTGTAACACCTTTCCAATTTTTTCATTACACAATTGACTCCTTCTATCGCTAATTAAGGCTTTAGGCATAACAAAATGATAAAATATGTTTTTTAGAAATATAACAATGACACATGCATCATTAGTCGGTAAATCTTGTGCTTCCGCACACTTGGACACGTAGTCGACGACTACTAGTATGAATTTATTACCTTTTGAAGCTGGAAATGGACCCATGTAGTCAATGTCCCATATGTGAAAGACTTCACACGCTTGGATGTTATTTTGGGGAATTTCATTATAAGAAGAGATATTACCAGAGCGTTGGCATGAGTCACATTCCTTGATAAATGATGTCACCTTCTTTGCTATATATTGTGCTCCATGATGTCCACTGTTTGGTCCACTATGACAATGTTGGAAGATATCCCTTGCATCTCTTCCAAACATGCAGCTTTTAATAATGTTGTCGGCAGAACCTCAGAATAGATATGGCTCATCCCAAAAGTTATACTTCATATCAACGAAAAATTTCTTCTTTGTTTCTTGGTGAAGCCTTTAACAAGATAACCGTTGGCTAGAAAGTTTACAATACCCGCAAACCTTGTCTCTTCTCTGGTTATCACCATTAAGTACTTGTCGGGAAATATGTTGTCAATCTCGCCTTCTTTGAACTCCTCCATTTTTGGATTCTCTAATCTCAAAAGGTGATTGGCTTATCTTTGATCTTGATGTTGAATTCATGAGATAGAAGTACCCAGCGAATCTTTCTTGGTTTTGCATCATGTTTGCTAAACAAATACTTTAAACCAGAATGGTTAGTAAACTCAACCGGTTTAGATAAAGTCAAATACGGATGGAATTTATCGAAGGCATATACGAAAACTAATATTTCTTTTCATTCATAGTGTAATTCTCATGATCCGGGTTGAGTGTTTTACTTGCATAGTAAATTGGTTGCAACTCTTTTCCTAAGACAACTCCTAAAGCAAATTCAAATGTCAAGTTCCAATTCGGGGCTATCATGATCAAGGTGGTAGTTAACTTCTCGTTTAATACATTGAAATCGTTTAAACGATCATCATAAAAATCAAATCTAAAATATTTTAAAAGCAGTTGAGTTAAAGGACGTGTAATTTTTTAAAACTCTTTTATAAATCGGCAGAAAAACACGCCTGTCCTAAGAAACTCCGCACCCCTTTCTTGTTTGATGGAGGCGGCAATTTGGAAATTATGTCAATTTTAACCTAGTCAACTTCTATCCACAAAATAGAGACTTTGTGTCCCAAAACTATGTCTTCTTTTACCATAAAGTGACATTTCTTCCGATTGAGGACCAAGTTAGTCCCTTCGCACCTAGCAAGCATGAGATTAATGTTAGTTAAACAATTATCAAAAGTGTGACTAAAAAGCGAGAAATTGTCCATGAAGACTTCCATAAATTTCTCCAAAATGTCATGCAAGATTGCGGTCATGTGTCTATGGAAACTGGCTGGTGCATTGCATAAACCAAATCGCATGTGTCGGTAAGCAAATGTCCCATAAGGACATGTAAACGTGATCTTCTCTACGTCTCTTGGATCAATGGGGAATCGAAAATATCCTGAAACATATAAAAACAATAATAAAGGTGACCAGATAGTTGTTCAAGCATTTGATATATAAAAGGTATAGGAACGTGGTTCTTGTAAGTGTCATCGTTTAACTTTAGGTAATTGATGGACACTCGCCAAGCGGTTAACATCCTAGTAGGAATTAGCTCGTTATTATCGTTGGTGACTATCGTCATTCCTCATTTCTTTGGCACTACGTGAATTGGACTCACCCAAGGAGTATCAGCAATGAAATAGATTATCCCGCATCCATTAGCTTTAGAATCACTTTCTTGACCACGTATTGTATTTTTGAGTTTAGCCTTCTTTGGTGCTGTACAACCAAGTTTGCATCATCTTCTATAAGGATCTTGTTTGAGCAAGCCTTATTCCGTTAAATTCGGTGACTCTCCATGTGATTGTGTTTTTCCGTTTCTTCAAAACTCCAACCACACTTTCTTTTTCCTTGATCAATGTTAGATAAACAATTATCAAAATTGTGACAAAAAACCGAGAAATCGTCCATGAAGACTACCATATATTTCTCCACCATGTCATAGAAGATTACGGTCACGCATCTTTTGAAAGTGGTCGGTGAATTGCATAACCCAAATGACATGCGTCAGTAAGCAAATGTCTCATAAGGACATGTAAACGTGCTATTCTCCTTGTCTCTTGGATCAACTGGGATTTGAAAATATCCTAAGTCTTGCCTAAATGAAATTTAGGTCCCATACTTGTGCTTTACATTAATTGAAGGTATTAATTTTAATGACAATGGCATAAGGGTCTAATGCGGATTTTCCCAATAGATGCACTTTACAAATATGCAATCAATTTTTATAGGATGTACACGACGCTTCATAATCTCCACAACAGAACACCATAATCATTGTAATCGATCGTTTTAATATCATTACCATAGGAGTACATATTTTTGGCAAATCAACTAGTCACATTGAAATACATTAACATCATTCTTAAATTAGATAGAACTTGTAAGTCCTTATGTTTATCATCACCCATTATATATGAAGTTGTTACAGGTGACAAGCCATTCCATGTCGCCATTAATTCTCTATATAATGTACATGTATCGCTTTCTTGATCGTGTTGTTGCTTTTCCGCTTAGGAGTAAAACGATTTTTGCTCCAACCATATTTCTCTCTATTTTCAAATTACATCCACAAACCCAAGGAAACAAGTTTTGTTCACTATTTGCAACCCAAATACATTTACATACTCTTACATACACACAATCCACCTGTTTTACCTAGAATGTATTTATATATCTATGCAACCATTGGCATATGCAAAATGATAAACCAATTAGTTTGGTTTAACTCGAAGTTATATCTTTTATGGTAAATATGAATAGAACATCACATAAGATTATCTTAGGATATTTGAAAATTACATGAAAAAAAATCTATGAAATGAGAATGCAAGGTATCAACACTAATCATGTAGACCAAGTTGACAAACTTGTGAATTATATTGAGAAGCTTATAAGCATTAACGATTGTCTCGGAAAGGATTTTAATATGTTCAAGGAAGAAGTTCATCTTTGAATTTTTTTGAAGTAAAGGGAATAGAGGTAATTAGGCTAGCCACAAAACATGTTTTACTTTCACATGGATTATTCTATTGAATATTTTACAAAGCTATACATTTTGAATATGTGAAAACGCATTATTATGATACATCCAAACATACGTAAAGTCCGAACCCGAAAATCTATGAATGAGTTTGTTTTGAATCCGAGAACGCAAACGCTGAGGGCTGTCATGTGCCACAACAGGCTTTGATGAATAAATCCCACCACACTAGCACATATCTAAACTATAAGTCTAGATTCTATAACAGACATTTATTCAAGTTCCACATAATTAGGGATCATTAAAATAGCTACAGCTCTAGAGGCAAAGCATATGTATATATAGAAGGTCGACCTAGAATACGCATCCAACACTATAGAGAGAAGCAATACTATTTGTAATACTTGATTGTCTTCCAGTTAAATGAACAGCCAACTGAGATCTCTGTCAAGGGAATTTTTCGCTCTCCACTCAAGAACTTGAGAACCAAACAATAACTGAATTCCTACCGCTAAAAGGAAAGATTGCGCAAAACTTGCTACAAATTTTATATATTAAAAACAAGTTGCTTACTTTAATGAATTCAAAATATGTTCTACTTTCACAAGGATATTCTATTATTATAATGAAAATGGTTTAGTTCTCTCCTGTTTACAAACATGGTCCCACAATTGTAAGATCTCATATCATATTGTCTTATCTTCCAAAGGACAACAATTCATCTCTTGTAAACTACAGGTTTTGCAATCAAGACACCAGGATCAGTTGTCAATGTTAGAATAAACACTACAATCTGACTGATCAAGCAGAAGTAGGGTTTCCATGTAGGAGCCAACGAAGAATGAACCATAATTTCCACTAATCCCAATATTGTTGATGTATCCCAAGCTGGGTTCATAGACAACAAGTGCAGCTGCTTCTTTGTAATAATCTTTCACTTCCATTATAGGTTTACCACTTTTCGTAAATCCCAGTGCCCTTATTGGTGCATACGGCGCATTAATGGTAAATAGCTTTTTAAACAAATTCTGAACACCATGATTCTTCACCCATATATTACAAACTTGATTCTTCATGTTTGTAGCGTATTCAAGAACAGCTAGAGACTCACATACCTTAGAGATGGACAAATTCATGTAAGACTGGTTTACTAAATTCTCAAATGACATTATCATACTTTTTGTGGAAAAACCACCATCAGCTGCAACCAACTTGTCAAAAGCAAACCAATAAATAAACCTTTCTATAACTACCTGAGACCATGTAATTTTAATCGACTTATTAGGCAGATTACTAGAAAGAATTCTCCAACTACCTTTACTCAATGAGAAAACTTCAACCACCCAAGGGACGCTAGCCCTACTTCTCATTTCCCAGTTTAGATTAACCTGTGTAATCTTCACAATCATAGGGTCACTTCTGATAGGACAAACCCCGAATCCAAGAATGGTTTCAAGACGCCAACATAACACACCAGGCACAGCTACACCAACTGATTTTATAATCGAAGGATTCCAAAGAACAACCATCTCTCGTACAGAGTTGTGACGAGAATGACCTGGAACTCGATAATAACCATACAAGCACAACAATCCTTGAGAGCTACCAACCACACGTGAGTCGTTAAGTACTTTAGCAAGCACAGGAACAGTCACAGCGAAACCTTGTTTGGCGAAAGTTTCATCATCAACAAATGAAACATACTTTTCCTCGGTGTCTACTGGATATTCATACCGTACGATTAATCGCTGAGGCTGATTGTGGTAGATATTGTAAGCAACAAGAAACTCATGGCTGTAGATATTGTAAGCAGCAGTAAATTTTCAACCAAATTTTCATTTTTAAAAACACAATAAACCACATGTCACATTTTCTTAAAACTCACAAGTAACAAATTATCAACACATTTTAAAAATCGTTTATCACAAATCTAGGATCCTCCAAAGACATATCTCTAACTCGGATGTGTGTACAATCAAGCCGGCGCCTTCCTGCGATCCTGATAAGAACCTGAAACACATAACACATAACATGGTAACCACGAAGCTTAGTGAGTTCCCCAAAATACCACACACAAAATAATTAGCCACTCGAGGCTACAGCTCTGTAAGACCCTCCGGTCAATGTGTCTTAGTGGGACCCTCCAGTCCCACGACTCGTTGGACCCTCTGGTCCGGTCTCTGTGAGGACCCTCTAGTCTCACTGCTCGTTGGACCCTTCGGTCCGGTCTTATGGCTCGTTGGACCCTCTGGTTCGGTCTGTAAAGCTCCGCATAGCATAAATCACAAAGACATAATGCACAGCATAAAACATAAGGCACGATAACATAATACTCAATGTAAGCACATAAGACCCTCCGGTCACACATAAGTACCACTCTAGGTAAAGTATAGTGAGAAGACTCACCTCGCAAACAGGTAAGCAAATAACCTCGTGCTCGGATCTCAAACTAGCCTCCGCTAACACAAGGATGGACATATCTAATTAATACTCTTTTCACGACTCAGATAATCGAAGGCTATTCTTTCTCTCTCTAAAGTGGGTAAAAGACCATTTTACTCATCCATGGTCTCTATTACCCATGTTGACCAAAACCCCAAAGTCAACAGAAGTCAAACTCGAGTCAACGGTCCATGTTTGACCTGACTCGCCGAGTGCACCCTTGTGACTCGTTGAGTCCCATCGTTTTCCACATAAATCTCGTGAAGGTTGACTCAGCTCGTCGATTTGACTCCCAACTCCCCGAGTGATTGCATGATTCAGCTCTACGGGACAAAACCGTAATCGACTCGTTGAGTCGGCACATTGACTCGGCGAGTTCATTCAGACCCAAAGCTCATTCAGACGATTTAAAACAGATCTATCACTCCAAACACTAGATCTGTCCTCTCAAGGCTCAATAGTCACGTAAAGCTTCAATCTTTACGTTCATGCATGATGTTATTGCTCCAAAATACTAATACATGCCCTTCATGAATGATTAAGCCCAAAAACCCTCATGTGGATGAATAAAGCTGGGACACCTAGACTCTAAGGACCTCACTGATGGGTTTTAGGTAAAACAAATAAACTAGAAAAACAATTCCTAAGTTCACATGCAACCTACTTTGGATCTATGTTTTAACTATTGAACATATAACTTTGAATTGCAAAACAAGAACCCTAGAGGAGAGAGGCTATTTTCGAAAATAGTAAACTAGGGTTTAGGGTTTACATACCTTTCAATTGTTATAGCAAACAATTGATATTCCCTTGATCTTGATCTTGATCTTCTTGGAAGCTTTAGCACCACAAGTGTAATGCCTCTAATGGAATCACACCCAATGACTAGCAAGAAGGAAAGTAGAAGAAGAGAGAGGAGAGAGGGAGTATGCAAAATCTCGGCCTTAGGGTTTCTTCAAAAGAAAGAGTGACCAAAAACATGAACCAGGAGGCTCCTTATATAGCTGAGGGATCTAGGGTTTAAGGGAAACCCTAGTTATCCTTTGCTTAGGGCCTAAGCAAACCCAAGGGCCTTATCCAAGCCCCTATGGACGAAATTATTAGGGTTTCCCCTAAAGATTTCGTCCACCCTCTTCCAAGGGGGTTCTAGAGCCTTCCACTCAACTATTAGATAATTGCAAACTAGTCCCTGCACCTTATAATTAATTCTTTTAACCCCAAAATCAATTCTGATTAATTTCTGGCTAACAATTAATTAAACATAATGATTTCTAATTAATATATTAATCCATTAACATATTAATAAATCATTTATATATATATATATATATATATATATATATATAATTTATTAATCTTATAAATTAATATCTCTCTTTCATAATTTCCTTGTCCAGTTGCTAGGTTGAGGGCAACCCAAAAGGACTGTGCTGCTATCAATTCAAGTACATACCAATTATAGTTATGGGCTTAGACACCTAATCCAACAGTCTCCCACTTGGATAAGTCTGTAACTATAATTGCTAGTATGCCTTCTAAATTTGACCAGCAAATTGTAGCTTCCAAAAGCTGCTGCCGAACTCTGACCCAGTCAGTTACGTGTCCTAAGATAAGTGATCATATAACCCTTCGTTCTGCTTGATATCCCCAGACAAAAGACATGGAATGTAATCAATCTCTTTGTCCAGAATCTATGTTTCCCGATTCCTGATTTGTGATGATGTAGGACTTCTAATCGAACACATCAATTTAGTCCTGGCTGGGCCCAGCACATAAGTCAACACCAAATCATCGAGGGGCCCACAGATATCGCTTTTCCTGTTAGGGCAAAAGGAACGAATAAACGTTGACTCATATGCTTGTATCTTTTACTCATCAAATTATGCATGACAATACGTTTTATAACACCAAGTTACTGATGCGTTTTCGTATCACCAATGCACAACCGACTTGTAAATTACAACTCATATATCTTCGTTTCAAGATTATAAGATATTATCGTCTCAGTATTACTCGTGATGAATTCCATGAAGTAATACTCTGAGCGTGGGTTTATCCAATACTCAAATCTCAATTTCTGAGTACTCATGAACATTGCAGCAATTCTATTGCCATGTCTATCCTTAGACAATCTGCAATCCAATTCATGACAGTCTTAATTCACTACTTACTTCCAAGAGTACGAGCGACTGTGGAGTTTGAATAATCTCATTATTCAGGAAGTAAAACATGCAAAATATGAAACACAATAATAAACAATTGACAAAAGGTAGTAGCCAAACTTATAAATAATACTTTATTATTTAATCACCAAAAGTCAATTACATTTACTTTGTTACAAGTTTCAAAAACTAATCTAACTACTAAAACTAATATCATCTTTCAGTCCTATGCTCCGAGCATGCTGAATATGCTTAGCCCTACTCAGACCCTTTGTGAGGGGATCTGCTGGGTTATCTTCAGATGACACCCTCTTTACTATAAGATGGCCTTCTTCAACTCTATGTCTATGAAATGGTACTTTCTGTCGATATGTCTGGTCTTACCATGATCTCTCGGTTCCTTTGTCAAGGCAACCGCTCCTTCATTATCGCAGAACAGTTCCATAGGCTCCTGGATGGTTGGAACAACTCCGAGATCCCCGATGAAGTTCCTCAACCAAGCTGCTTCTTTCGACGCTTCACTTGCTGCAATGTACTCTGATTCACAAGTAGAATCAGCCACCGTATTTTGCTTGGAACTCTTCCAAGTAACTGCTCCTCCATTCAGTAAAAACACCCAGCCCGACTGAGAACGGAAGTTATCTCTATCCGTCTGAAAGCTGGCATCACTGTAACCATCTACTCTCAAAGTATCACTGCCACCAAGCACAAGGACCCAGTCCTTTGTCCTTCGCAAATACTTGAGTATATTCTTAACTGCTATCCAATGAGCTCTACCTGGGTTTCCCTGATAGCGACTGACCATGCTCAAAGCAAATGCCACATCAGGGCGAGTACATGTCATAGCGTACATGATCGATCCGACAGCGGAAGCATAAGGTACACGACTCATGTCATCTATTTCAACATCTGTACTCGGGCATTGAGTCTTACTCAATTTGGTATTGCTCTGGATAGGTAGCTCTCCCTTCTTGGAATTTTCCATACTAAACCTCTTTAGTACCTTATCCAAGTATGTGCTCTGACTAAGTCCAATTAGTCTCTTCTTTCTATCTCTCAATATTCTAATCCCAAGAATATAGGCAGCTTCTCCAAGGTCTTTCATGGCAAAACACTTTCCAAGCCAAGACTTAACCTCTTTCAAGGTTGGAACGTCGTTACCAATGAGTAATATGTCATCGACATATAACACCAGAAAAGTTACTATACTCCCACTAGCCTTGATATACACACAAAACTCATCTTCACTTCTAGAGAAACCAAACTCTTTGACTTTCTCATGGAAGCAAAGATTCCAACTGCGAGATGCTTGTTTCAATCCATAAATGGATTTCTCAAGCTTGCACACTCTATTGGGAAACTTTGCATCAACAAAACCCTCTGGCTGACTCATGTAAACATCTTCAGCCAACTTCCCATTAAGGAAAGCAGTTTTGACATCCATCTGCCAGATTTCATAATCATGAAAGGCAGCTATGGCGAGCAATATCCTAATAGATTTAATCTTAGCCACTGGCGAAAAGTCTCATCATAGTCAACCCCTGGGGTTTGAGTAAAACCTTTTGCAACCAGTCGAGCCTTGAATGTGTGCACATTCCCATCCATGTCTGTCTTCTTCTTGAAGATCCATTTGCACCCAACTGTCTTGCGACCTGGTGCACTATCAACCAAATTCCAAACTTGGTTGTCATACATGGACTTAATCTCGCTGTCCATTGCCTCTTTCCACTTGGAAGCCTCTGGGCCTGCCATTGCTTCCTTATAAGTGACTGGTTCATCTAAGTTTACCAGTGTTCTGTCACTTATGAATGTGTCACCATCTGAAGTAATATGAAAACCATACAACTCAGGTGGCACACTCACCCTAGTGGATCTTCTAAGAGGTAATGAGTTATCAATTGGTTCAACAGGAACTGTTTCCTCTGGTTGAGTGCTAGTGTCATCTAAGGTTCCTTCATTGGCTGACTCTTGAATTTCTTCAAGGTCAATAGTGCTCCCACTGTCCTCTTTGAATATGAGCTCTCTTTCAAGAAAGACTCCTCTTCGTGCTACAAAGACCACGTTCTCACTAGGCCTGTAGAACAAATATCCAAAAGACTGCTTTGGGTAACCAATGAAAACACATTTCTCACTTCTAGCTGCTAGCTTGTCGTGAGTCTCTCGTCTTACGAAAGCTTCACAACCCCAGACTTTAATATGTGCTAACGAGGGAACTTTCCCTGTCCACATTTCGTGAGGTGTTTTGGCAACCTTCTTTGTAGGGACAAGATTGAGGATGTGGGCGGCTGTCTCTAAGGCATACCCCCAGAAGTGAATAGGAAGCGAAGCCCGACTCATCATAGAACGAACCATGTCTAACAAGGTTCGATTGCGCCTCTCAGCTACACCATTTAACTGTGGTGTCCTAGGAGGAGTCA